GTATACAGCTTGATTACGTTATTTTTGATAGTTTTGTTCAGTTTACGATCAATTACTATATTAAACCATGTATTTTTTTTATTTGATTTATTTTGTGCGTTGCATGGAAATTTGATAAATTTCGAAGAGCAGCCAAAAAAAATAATATTGTTTTTTGCCTAGAAATTTTGAAATCATTTCAAGATTAATTTTTTTCCATAACTACTATTAACTGAAGTACTGAAAATTTTTATTTATGTATAAAAGAATAGATCGTTTATTTCTCTATCGAACTATATATGTAATTCCTTATCCTTACTACAAATTTGTTAATTTTCTGATAAATCTTTTCGTAAACTTTTTTTCATAGGCTATTCTCTGTTTTTCCTCAAGGAAATTTTAGTTACTTCGATATGTGAATTTTTTTCTTTAATGCATGACTGCATAGAGTGTTGATTTCTATAGTTTTGATTGAATGTTTATCAGATCGTACAGGTAAAATTTTGTGAAAACTAAAATAAACTTGGTTTTTGCATAGATATAAAAATGGTCCAAATTTTAACAGTAAAATTCAATATTCTCTTTTATTTCAAATCTATTTTGTTTCATACTTTCTATACATTCTAGTTTGATGAATCTCTTTCATCTACAGCAGTTTTCATGATTAATGAGTTCCAGTTTCAATCAAAGTATGAGTATGCAAGAATTCCATTTTATCGTTCTCAGAATTGATCAAAATTTCCAACAAGATGCAAAATAAATTAAATACAATCTATATGATGCGATAGAACAAATAATTAATACTCTATCTCATTTAACTGTTATGATAAATACTTTCTTTGTATAATGAATCTTATTATTATTATTATTATTTCTTTTCATCGAAAATCTGATCTCATATTTCTTAATCAAGATATATCTATATTTTCTTTCATACACATCAAACAATCTATTTAAAATAAACATCTGATTATTATAATTAATTCTATATACATTTTAAAGATTTGTACTAGTTTTTGAATAATCAAATATTGATCCTTCACCACCATCTTGTCTATTATATAATCCTCGATTTCCTGTTGCTGTTAATGAAACAGTTGCACCCAAATTTATTGTTGTATTATCAATTAATGTTGCTTTATCAGCACGTTGAAAATTTTTCCATAAATTTGTTAAAATAGTTGATGTTACATCATCACCAACATTTGCATATATAAGACGAAAAATAAAAAATCCATCATGTTGTAAATAATCATAAACAAATACATGCATACCAGCACGTACAGTTGTTAGACTTTGTTGAACTTGAATACGTTGAATAAAAAATGAATAACGAAGACGTGGTAATAATAAAAATATTAACCAAGATAAAAAATCATATATTGTTATAATAAGAACAAAATTCATCCAAATATATAAAAGAGTAAAGATTTGTTCATTGTATACATTTATAGTTAAAACACCTAATATGAACAAAAACAAAATATTTGTTTCAATATCAAATTAAGGAATTGATTGATTACAAGTAAAGCTTAAGACTTTAAGGACTCAATATTTAACAATATTCCTCTTTTAGCCATTTCTGGTTTTCGGAGACAGTGCAATGGATTAGCATGAGTTTTTGGGCAAATTCTGATTTGCCATAGAGCTATATCGGGCTCGCTTACGGGTCCCATTTAACTTTGTTCAATCGGAGTGAAATTTAGACCATATATACTTGGAAGTATTCTCTATAGGTGAAATCGGTCGTTTTCACTTTTGACCTCACTATCCGAATTTATAGAGCCTTGAACTCCAGCATCCTGGTCTTCGATCCGAACCTTTACATATTTCTCGCATAAAAAAGATAAAGCCAAATTTTTGAAAAGGTTTAAAGTCAACTCTGAGCTATAATCTAAAATACTTAAAAAAAACATTTTCATCCTGATCAGAGGTCATAAGCGAACCCGCTATAATCCTATGTAAAACCAAGCTTTTCCCAAAAAAAAAACGCGGAAACCTTGTTTAAAATTTTTTCCTTCAATGTATGTCATCTTAGTTTAGGTTCTCTACCTATAACAAAAATTTCATGCGGATCGATTGTATCCTTAATGACACTATTCAATTTTAATGGAAACTTTCGTCAAGTTGCATAAACTAAGTAAATTTAATCGAATCAAGAAATATGTCAATAAGTACGAGCTTTAGATTTTCACTAGTATATTTTATTATGCTCTATGTAGAGCCTGTCGAATTGGTTTCGAGCCCGGCTCTAGGTGCGGATCCAACGAGCTCTGATTCAATGTCTATATTACATAACCAAAGTTTCCTACATATTTGTGGAGATACAACTTACTTAATTCCATGTAATAAAATTGCTGATTAATTCAGAACCAGCATCTGAAATGAAAGCAGAGACTTTCTACAGACTGTAGCAAGCCACTCAAACTCTATTTGATAAAAATATCTTTGTAATTCAGAATCTGTGTTCCGAATAAAACTAGGATGATTTGCTACAGTGAAGCAGATTCAACCGTATAAACATATGATCTATTTCGACTCATTCGCTTTCACTTGAAATACTACATAGGAAAAATGTCGTTCTACAAAATGAGCAAAAAGTCGAAATTTTAGAAAAACATCACTCTTTTTTTTTCATCGAATAGGAAAATCACTCAGAAGAAACTTTTTCATTAGTTTTATATTTTCGATAAATGACCTTTCTTTCCAACAACGTCATTTTTCTTCAACATGTACATAGACAAAGAAATTTTCAATAATATTATTCTACGCGAAAAAGGAAAAGTGTCCATCATACAGTATTTCGGATGAATAGACATGGAAAGAGAAACTAGGCAGAACGCTTCAAGGTCTACAAAATGGGTTGTTCGTTGTCGGTTTTTTTTCTTTACTTTGATTCTCCGCAAATTTCCTTTTCCTTAGTACATCCTTCTATAAAATACGATTTTTCCACATTATAAGCCTAATAAATCAGAAAGCTTGAGGTTGCTATGGGTGTGAAACACTTAGATACCAATAACGCATGAAAAAAGTGTTCAAGGCGATCAATGGAAACAAAATTTATTAGCTAAATGCAGCTAAAATTTCAATCGTACCAAAAAGTTGCAATTCATTCATATAACAGTGGCTCATAATAAACTGGTCAAAATGTTTTCCTCTTTTCCCAAAGCATTGAAGACTTCATTTTAAGCTCATTCAATTGGAAATATCCTACTCTACAAAACTACTGTTTTTGTTTTTCAAATAACGTTTTTTTTTGTCGGCGTCAAAATTTAAAAGATGAACATCTACTCAATCGTCTAACTGCACCAGTCAATATTTTATAAAGATTTCGCTGAAATTTCAAATACGCCACAAAGTTCTCTAAAAAATTCTATATCTTTTGATATATGTTTCAGGATTTTAAAAGAAATATATAATTTTTGAAGTGTCATAGACCATGTTTCACGTTGGAAAACATGGTTTTTCAGAATGCGTCTCAATATACCACTTGATCTTGGTTCACAATTTTTTTATTCTAAACAACAGGAGTAGAAACCTTGAAAAGATCGTGGAAGTAAAGAGCACAAAATTCTCTATCCCTTGATGTCAAATATTTTACTTTTAGCATCGATCCTGATAAGCAAAGGTTTACAGAAATTGAAAAGAGGAAAACATTTGGATCCATTTATTATGGGCCAACCATTGTATAAAACTGGAGAAATATCCTATAGAGTTTTACACCAACAACTAAAATTCAATAAATGATGTTGATAAAATTTTATTTCAAACATTTACAAAACTGATATAGAGTTTTTCGAGGAAGGAAATACCTAATGTATTTGGTATATATTTTGTTGCGAAGATTTATCTTACTCCTCTTGTATTGCAGCTGGTAACATGAAAGGTCAAGGAAAAAATTCTTGTATTTCTACAGTCATTAACAGAACGATAAATACTCCATTAAGTATAACAAGAAAGAAATGTACCACTAAGTGGTTGTTACTGAAAAGAGAAAAAGTATGATTGTATGTTTCGACTTTTTGCTAATAATCGTATGAATATAATTGTTAATAAGAGTCAATCAAAATCAAAGAAATAAACAAATAACAGAAGATTATCAAGATAAAATAAACAGATAAAATCAAATTTATTTTCAGCTATTATTCAATGTCTATTCGATAGATTCCAGCAACTCCATTTAAATTATACTGATGATTTGTTTTGAAAGCCAAATATTATTAAGAAAAAAATGTGTGGACTGTACTAGATTGATATTATCTATGCAAATATCATCACGTATTATTTGACTTAGGATTACTTCGATACTACGATTTGGTTTTTTTTTTCATATACAAATCTAATTTCTGTTATTTCATTTTCTTTTTTTGTTTCTATTCACTTACATTGAACAGTATATTTATGTCCATCATCACTATTTGGTTCAATAATTCTAAAATCGCACATACTTATTTTTGGAAAATATTTTGATACAGGATTTGTACGTAATATACCAGCTGTAAATATATTTCTAAAACCTTTTAATGTGTCATTAACCGTCCATTTTTCTTCAAGTAAAAGTCTTATAGCATATAATTGAACAAATGTATTTATAATAAATAAAATTTTTGTAAATAAATAAAGAAGAAGTAAATATGAATTAAAAACATTTGAACTTCGAAAAAAACAATAAATTAAACCATTTAGATATGCATTAATTTTACTATGTTGTTGTTTTAAATGTTTTCTTGGATCACCAACATATTGATGTACAAATGAAACAAGATATCCCATTATAGATTTCTGTTTATGAAAACGTTTAACTGTTTTAAGACTATGTGCTGCATCTATTATATTTCGTACATCAATACCTGAATGACGACTAAATGAACGCCAAAATAAACGTGGAAGTAAATAGAACAATGCTTGTAGTAGTAAAATAAATGGAACAAATTGATAATATCGTAGTACATATCGTTTTTCTTGTGCTCGTTTCATAGTTGGTTCACTAATGTTTATATGATATGTCTAATCATATATATATATATGCAGTTAAATTAGAAAAAAACTTCTCTTTTTTTTTTCTTACATTGTGTATCCAACAATAATTGGATACATATATTTCATAATTTCGAGTGAATATAGCTGGTACCCAACTAGATTATAAGAAAGAAAATGAAAATATATTTTAAAAATAAAACTAAAATTCTTTACCATTGTATTGGATCAGTTGAAAATTGTTTACTAGCAACAACTATGGAAAAAAATATTAATATACCTACAGTATATTTATAATTTAATCGATCAGCAAAATCATCATCACGTCGAATACCAAAATAACTTATTGGAGGTAAACGATGAAATGCATTAAGAATATCCATTTATTAATAAATAGTAAACGATGCAATCGATCATTAATAAGTGACGATGAAAGAGTGATTTTCCTTTTCTTCTTCTTCTTCTTCTTTTTGTCGGAATCAACTATGCATTAAATGATAACAATAAGAACAATTGCTATTTGTCTAGAAGCGTCGATCGATGATCGAAGCGACAGTAACTATTACGGATTCTGTTTCTCGTGTGCATTCAATCTACTATAAACATAAATAAACGCATCTGTACAGTATCATCAACGATATAACTACTTTTTTTTCCTGTTTGTTATTATCATTACTGTGTAAGTAGACATTAGTATGGCAACTTATCATCATTCTTTTTCTCGTTTTTTTTCTTTGCCCTACTAAATGAAACAAAGTAATGTCATTGACAATCGGCATATGGCAACAGAAGAAAGAACAAAAAGAACAGATCATTTATCCTTCTTCTTTAAAAAAGATTCGATTATAAATGAAGGAATTATTTATGATTACTTACCTATACAAGATCTTCTAAATGAAACAAAAGAAATCTATTGATTATAGTAAAATATCTTCTTTACTTTTGAAAATTCTTAATCAAATTTATTTCTATGTTATTTAAATGTTTGCATGCAAGAACAATCGATTAATCGATTGAATAATAAATTAGTCACTGGAGACAAATATATGACAATATTATCATCAATAATTTTTTTTTCTTTGCTTTGTTATTAGACATAAGTGAAAATGAATAATACAGATAGATCCTTCTTACATATATATGTCACATATTATCAAATATCAGACTCAATATTAAATATGTTCGATGTAAAACTCATATTTGAAATTATAATTGACAAAATATCTCTAGAAGATATACTCAATTGCTGATAAATGAAATATAAATAGTTTCTCATGGATATTTTTCGTTATCAGGTTTAAACAAAGTTTATATCAAAATGAAAGCGATTCCTTGAATTTATTTTATTTTAAGCAAAATAATGAAATTTTCATGCATATATCAAAAATTTAAATTAAAACAATTTTGTGGCAAGATAACAATGATATATAAATATCTTAGATGAAAACAAAACAAAAAAAAATATAAATAATGAACTCGTCATTTTGGGTGTCAACTGACTGTATATTTTAATTATACAGATCTATATATGTATACATATTCATATTATAGAAAAAAGAAAACTGAAATGACTGTTCATAGTTTATTTAATTAAAACATATCAATTTCATCTTCATCATTCGATAAGAATTTACCAGAACCTACAAAGAAAAACAAAGAACGTTGAAATAAATGTAAAAAAAAATAGATTTTAAACATACGTGATTCACATAAACGACCAGTTCGACCTTTTGGACAACGACACTGAGCTTTAGATTTTACATAAACACATGTACCACCAGCTTGACAATCAAGTGAACAATATTGTTTAGCATTTGATCGTTGAACTAAAATTTCAAATAATAGAATATCAAATCTATATATTCAATAAAATTTACTTTTTTCACATAGAACACCCGATGTACCCTTTTGACAAACACATTGTGAACCAGCTTTTGTTATAATACATTTTGCATTATTCATACATGGATTTTTTGGTGAACATGATCTTGGTCGATTAACTAAGAAAACAAAAATTATTAATAAATCCAACTGAATAAAAAAAACAAACAAACGACTTACTAAATTCACATTTTGATCCATAATGTTCATTTGAACATGAGCATCGTGCTTGACCACTTTTTTCATCTATATAACATTTACCATTATTAAGGCATGTTTTATTACATACTCTTGACGTTAATGATCGAGCACCACGACCTAAATATTTCAGAGTAATGCATTAAAAATTTTAAAAAATCTTAATATTAAATTTCAACATACGATATTGACAATAATAGCCAGTATATTGAGCTGTACACCAACATTGTGCTCCATTATTTTGAACTCCACATCCTCCCGCATTTTGACTGAATAAACAAAAGAAAAAAAAACCATCAACAAAAGCAATTAAAAAAAAAGAACTAACCATGGATTTGGCGTACATGGATTCATCACAACAACCGTTGGACATGGTGTCACTACACATGGACACGAAGGACATGGTTGTTGTGTAGCAATAGTAGTGCGTAATGTAGTCATAACTAAACAGAAAAAAACAACAACATACAATTCATCATATTAATAAAAATTATTTGTCGCAATCCTGTATTTGTTTTTCTTTTACAGGAAATCAACATTAAACATACTCTGCTGACAATTGGTACCAGTATATGGAGGAGAACATGTACAAATATAACCGGTAGTCGTTTGTTGGCACAAACCATTATTAGCACATGGATTTGGCATACAATAATTTTGATTTTGACATTGTGAACCATAAAATCCTGTACGACATTGACAAAGATATGCTAATAAAAAAATTGATATTTTATTAGAAAAAATACAAATAAAATCAACACACATGTCCCTGTCGGAATACATTGTCCACCATTTCGACATGGTGATTGAGTGCATGGATTAAATGGTGTTGTTGTTACTCGATTTTCACAGCAACGACCAGTAAATGTTGGTGGACATCGACATAGAAATGTTGTACCTTGAGGTATACATGCTCCTCCATTTTGACAAGGACTTGGTTGGCATACTGTAACAGCTAATAGTAAAAATTTTGTAAGATTAGTAAGAATTTTTTGTCAAAAAAATCATGTACCTGGAGCTTCACAACGATTACCAACATGTGTTGATGGACAATTACAAAGAAATCCTTGTCCATTTGGAATACATTGACCACCATTCAAACCTAAACATAAATATTAATTTTTGTTTTGATTTTAAAATTTTAAATAGAAAATTTTTACATGGATTTTGATCACATGGACTTCGTGGTCGAGCTAAGAAAAATAAATAATAACAAATTTTTCATCATATAAACAGAAAACAATGTATTTCATACGCGGTGTTGTTGCTTGTGGACATTGAATAGTACCACACAAACATTGAACAGTATTAATAGTAGGATTACAAACACCAACAGTACAGTATGTACATTGATATCGTTTAGGTGTTACAATTGGACCAAGTGCTCGTGCTTCAGCTAATGTTTGACTAATTGTAATATTATCAAGAGCATGTGGATCAGCTTCATATGTTTCTATTGTATTATCAATTGTATCTTTTTTGAAATAATAAAATTAATTTAGAAAAAAAAAATCATCAAAAGAACTTAAACAATGACTTACCGAGATGACGTGGACTTGGTGAACTTTCTTCATTACATGATTCAACATATTCTTTCCATGCACATGTTTTTAATGAATCTTCCCATGCTGTACCAGATGGACATGTAAATTTAATACGTAAATTATGAAAACATCGAATAAATTTTGTACAATCTTGATCAGCAGAAAAATCTTCACATGTTCCTATAGAGATAAAAATATGTTATTATTAATAAACATCTTTTTTTTGTCATAATCACTTACTTTGACCAATGACAGTAATAAATAATGTTGTGAAAAGATATAAAATACTATGATGATATGAGAATATCATTGTTTCTTTGTAGTTTTTTTGTTTTGTTTCTAATGAAAAGCAATCGAAATAACACGTCCTTTTTAAAGCTTACTGACAGGCCTGACTTTCTTGAAATAATCAATACGTGGTTATAACATGCATGAAACTAAGCATGTACTGCTATTCTTTAACTCTAAAACCACGTAAAGGTTAATCCTAGGTTTTTTTTCTTTTGCGGTTGTTTTTTAAGTAAAATATGTAGGCGATACAGTGATCTTCTTTGTTTTTTTTATAAAACAGACACAAAGAATAAATATAAGGTTGAAGGACGAATGTGTTTGCTTTTGTGTATGTGATCCATCGTTGCTATTTAGTTAGCAGAATATTCATACATCGATAATCCCTTTCTTTCAAGTAATAAATTGTTAGAAGAAAAAAAAAACAATATGTAGTTTAAACTTTTTGACAGTAATCTTCATGACCACTCATCGATCACCCACACATAGGAGAGGTTCAAATTCAAATGTAAAGAGAAAACTAAGTTTATCGCTACAAAAGAACATGATCGATAGTGTATGAAACGAAAGTGTTTCTAATCCTGAGAAGTCATGAATATTTTAAACACGCGAATCTCTTTCGTAGGAGTTGCTAACTTAAAAATTTATGTAAAAGAAAAATGTTAGTGATTTAAATAAATATTAGATGTCTAACAAGCAAGATAATATATTTACAAACCATTTGTATTTTTCATGAAAATCTGTAATAAAATGCGCTTATATTGCTAATTTTCGCATCAAAGGCCATTACAGATCGTGTCAGTTCATTTTTGAGCATGGTCTACTGAAAAAAATCGGAAAGAAGGAGCGAAATTCACCATTGTTTCCATGGACAGAAACCAACAAGTAATTGCAAACACAGCCATACTTACGAGAATACGTTTTTAAGTGTCAAATCGCTTTTGAGTCGGGACTATGTGTATGAGCTACGAATATTCTGAAAAGTGTTCAGACTAATAGTTTATTACTGCCGAGATACAGTATTGTCATGACACCCTCAAGAAAACTATGTTTCGAATTTCGACTTGAAACTTTGCACAGAGACAGGCCTTAATGAAAATAGTTTATTGCAAAAGTTTCAGATCTTTTGATTACTTCTATTCCAAGATACAGCTATGGTAAAAGCACATTTTTCACGCTGATTATATACAATGGCAGGTTTCGGTTTTCTTATTTCAAAATAGGCATAATGGAAAAATCTGAAACTATCATAAAAAGCTAGACTTGTTTCTATGAAAAGTTTCAAGTCGAAACTTAGTTTTCCTGAGGGAATCACGATATTCTGCTAAAAAATACAGTCTCTCGACAGTAATAATTTATTAGTCCGAAACTGTTTTCATGGTATTCGTAGCTCAACTATAACCTACATGATGTACATAGTCCGGACTCAAAAGCAGTTTGATACGGAGGAAATGTTCGCTCGTGAACCTAGTTTGTTTTAATTTTCGTATCTGTTTTGCAGAAATACTGTGTTACGGAATTTTATTTGTATCCGAAAATTGTGAAAAATATATCATTTGATGCAGTATTTGACGATATTGATTGCTTTAATCTTGACTTAAATTGTGATTTTCTGGAAAACAATAAAATTTCATGAAGCTAGATCACACTGTCATGAAAATTTATACGTTAATTTGATATTTATTGCTACATCGATATGATCTTTTTCATTTGATTGAATACAAGAGAATACTTGATTATCACAGAATAAAGAAACTAAATTTTCGTACAAATTTAATAAAAATCTGATTTATTATTTGTTCGATAATCTAATTATATGTATTCTATTTTGAAATTTCTAACAAAAATTTTAGTATTCAGTTTTTTTGTTTTTCGTTTCAAGACCTTTTGACATTGTCATTTAATTGTCTAATCTGTCATTGTCTGATAAAATTTTTGTTGTTGTTGTTGTTTTTTTACAATAGATCGTTAAGCTCTCAATAAAAGTCAAATGGTAAAATAGTTTGTCTGACATATCTTTATCTATGCCAATGTTTTGTATTTGACTCCGTAAGACATAAAAGATCGATTTCTATAAAAATAGATTTTCAAAAACAACAAAACAAACTGTTGCCCTCGAATTTATTCGTTTGTTATTAGATTTAAATTTAATGCATAAAATAAAAATGTTTCAGTCTTATATCATATAAAAGAAATAAATTTATTTTTAACTGTATGGTTGATTGGAAGAAGAGGAATATAAAGTCTTCTTAATTGAAAGGGTATCATACCTTAGTATCTCTCACTATGGTCAGCGTTCTATGCAGATAATTCATTCTCGAATAGAAAATTTTACCCAACGATCACCACCAAAACACTCTATTAATAATTTCTTATCTTCTTACAGAATTTTTTCTTAATAAAAAAGCAATTCATGAATTTGAAAGAAAAAAAAAATCTTTGTCAATCATTATTTGGTTTTAGTAAAATCGAATTATAATGAATAATCAGACTTTCAAAGTTTAAAACTAATAACTTAAAAATTTAATTTCTTTTTAACAATAATCATCAAATGCATAGTTGATTTGACTTGACATATCATCAATTTTTTTTCCTTACTCTTTTTTAAGTGGAAAAGACATATACAATTCTAATAGTAAATATATACGCCTATTTATATAGTCAGTCACACATACAACTCTATTTGACTTAGTTTTACCATTACAAATGCTACTTAAAAATTCTTTTCATCTCATTTCTTTTTCTCTTTTTCCTTTTTTCCATCATCAAAAAAGGATATAGCAAAATGCAGGATAAAATAAAAGAAACTATCAAGCGAAAAGTGAACGATAATTCATTATCATTTGCAATCAGACGATCTGAGAACAATTCTTCCATCATATTTATTCATTCAAGCAAATGAAATCGAAACTGACCGATGAACAATCTAATTGAACGCTATATTAATTGACAAGAAAAGAAGAAGAAGAAGAAACAGAAAAAAAAAGATATATTATGACATTTTGACGTAAGTTCATCAGACGTAGAAATGTGCAATTGATTATGGCGGCAGTATGTGTGCAACAGTCGTCATCATACGTTTTGACTGTATAAATGTGAAAAAGAATGTGCATTAATGGAAATAACTTGATTTAACTAACAACTAAGCAAGATCATTATCTGCTTGTACAGTATCAAAGAAGAAGAAGAAGACAGACAACTGCTGTTTAGTTTATACTAATACTCTCATATACAAGCGCGAGAAAAAGAAAAAGAAAAGGAAATCATTTCGAGTTGTTCTCTTACATATCAATTACATCATAAACAAAGAAATGTAAAAAAAAAAAAACAAAAAAAAAAAAAGAAAGAATTACTATGTATTAACTAACTCTTTAGAAGTAAAGACAAAACATAATGGTACTATCAAATGATTATATATGTGATGGCGGTAATCGAACAATACGTTGGTCACAATTTTGTGATGGAATTATTGATTGTTATGATCGTTTTGATGAAGAAGGACATTTTTGTAGTAAGTTTTTCAATTCATAATATCTTTAAATTAAAATTTCTTTATTTCCAAAAAAAAAAGAACTTTGTATAAACAATCTTTATTCATGTCCACCAAAAGATGATATACGTTGTGATTTAGCTTGTAAAATGCTTCATTATGTACCATGTCAAACCATACAAGATCGTCGAGCATGTAAGAACATTGAAAAAGATTGTAAGTTAATATTAATAGAAATTATTATATAACCATAAGAGATTTATTCAAATAATATTGGAAAACCAAAGAAAAAAAGTATTGGGATTTATTCTCATCCTCACTTCGACACTTGCATTTTTTAGCCAAAGCTAGATTCTCCATATAATAAGGGATATTAGGGGGGGGGGGGGGAATTAAAAATCGAGTATGGTAAATAAATATTGACTCGTTAGGAGTTAATGAAAACAAGAAAATCATTAAGTAATTGTATTGATATTTGTAAAAGGTCATATATTATATAACAATTTATATTTACATATTATGAACTTCTAAAAATATTTATTTTTTTATACTATAGATGACAATAATATTCTTTTTCAATTGCTCAAAGGATTCAAATTTTATGTTGGTATGTTTAATATTAAAAAGACAGATGAATAAGGAGCCAGGAAGAAAAAGTAAAAATTTCGTACTTCAAGGATATGTCAAAATTATCCTCTAAAAATTTTTAGTTATTTCAAATCTGTCCGGTAAATAATACCCGAATACTTCATGGATACTTAAGTTTTGAAGTACTTGGGCTTTATTACAAGACAGATTTGAAATGACGAAAAAATTCTAGAGAATAGCTTTAACATCTTTCTTGTCAATGGAAAAAATGTTTGCAGAAAATTATGTTTTGATCTTTTCAATGTATATATATATATTATTCAACTAATTAATTTCGTCTATGAAAATTTTTTGTGCTAATATTTTTCCATATAATTTCTCTAAAAACTTATTAAATTATATTCAACTATTCCAGCTGCTACTATTCTCCTTCTTGTTTTAATTGGTATGGTTATTTTAATTAAATATCTTATTCGTAGATATCAACAAAATAAAGTAAATACTTCATTTGTATTATACATTCAACTTATTTTTGTTTTTATCAACATTCGTAAATATTCTTCTATTTTTTTTTATAGTCATCAAATCTTTCTCATATTTCAAATCGTCAAATCGAATCAGATACATTGTCTAGCCATATTTATGAACAATGTTACGAACCACCATCCTATGAAGCCACACAAAAATATCCATTGATGAAGACATATTATGAACATGTAGTATAATAATAATGAGAATGGTTTCCGGTAAAATATATATATATATATGATTTCTATTGACAATATTAATAAAATGTTCTATTTACTTTTTTTTTCGTTTATATTTAATCTTTTTCTAAACATATATCGTATAGATTTAAGCAAACTATATAAAACAAATAAATCAACGATTTTTCTTTCAACAGAAAAATTATATATCAATTGTATCTACGTAATAATATTAAAACTTCTGATTATGAAACAAATAAAAACTTTAATAAACAAGAAATAAAAAAAATCATCGCTTATTTTATAAAGTTTTACCTTACGATTTATTGTCGAATTTTTTTCAAGCAAAAAATCAATGTAGATAAGATCGTTTTTTTTCTGCCTGTACTTAATCTTTTCAACATGGGAGACGCATCTAGGCATTTACCATTTTCAGAACAGTTCACATCTATTGATACGTACTACTTTTCGACGATTTGTTACGAGCGACTTACATATACGCCGTACCAGCGTTTGAAAGATCAATAGCACTGATTAAAAATAAAAATTAATTTGTTTTAACTAACTCGATGTTTTAGTATTTTATTTCGAAAAAAGAATCTTGTTCTGAAAAAGTTGAATCAAGTCAATGACGCGACTTCTAATGATTATGCCATAGTTTATTTTTCAATAGCTTTGTTGATAGTCAGTTGTTTTGTTTTTTTTAGTAATAAAACTTTTTGTTGATCATTGTTATTCATCTTTTCTTTACACGCAATATTTTATATGTTTACGTCTATGATATGAAGCGTATGTCATAAATAATATATCTCACTTCGTCAAAAAAGTCTAATGGCGTAATCAAAGATGGACTATGCCAGACGTTGCCCTACCATCGGAATAACGAGAACTGTACTAATTATCATCATTGATACTATATTTCATGGATGTACTCTAAGATTTTAGGACACTACTTTACTCCAATCACGATCTTTTGAGTGTGTTGCTACAAAAGTCTCTGTAAGAATCTCAGCTAATCATAAATTTTTCCTGCCCGTGCGTTGTATAGTAAACCGAAAGATAATTATTAGAATCCTTGGTTAGTATAGAGCTACAAGAACTCATGTAAAATTTGCTTCCTACCGGAAACTTGACTATTTGTAGGATGGAGACCAGAGACATTCATGACGATGCGGGAGATATTTCAATATCTTTTCTAAGGAGTTGAGTATCTACAAGTCTAACACGCAGCACCATGGTGCACCTGATGGATTCAATCATAACTGTGTTAATCTAGCACAGTAACTGAAAAGACTTTAGAAGAATTTTTTGAATATCATCGCAACAGCGACAATTTTTTATGTAGTCCACCGCAAGCCTTGTATCTTCTAAAATAGTAGACTGGTAGCAGCAGACTTCCAGTCACAATGAACATCTCTGACGAAGACGTAGGATCGATTTATAAGTTTATTTATTGAGTATATATATAATGGGGTAACAATGACAATAACTAGAAAAAGACAGCCTAATACGGAAGTGAAGACAACAAAAATAACGCTGACGAAAAAGTGGAGAAAAATCTGTTTCTACATATCATTGTTTTATCCAGCGTGATGGCCGAGGAGGCAGTGCCGCTTCCAGAATCGAGTTGACTTTCTCGGGATTGGTAGTTATTGTAGTATGAACCCAAAAAAAGATTTTCGTCCTTTCGGAAGGGAAACTGTCGATAAAACACTGATATATATAAGAAGGAACAATGAACAAAGGAAAATTTCCTTAAAAGTTAGCTGCGACATAATGTTATCTGTTAAGGCTAAAAGTCTCAAGAGTTATCCGGTGATTTAAATAGCACAATATTTCAAAATAGTAGCATAATTTTGTCTTTATGAATCCTAATGAGTGTTTCCTGATGTGAATAGATATTCAGGGATGACTTCCCAATCTTAAGAAATTTTCGTTGTTCTCCAACAGGTTTGCAGCATTTTGTTATCTTTTTTACTCATCGATTTCCAATAAATCGCAAACTCTCCTACCAAATTCACTTAACTTTAGAAAAAAATCCTCTGATCGGCATCCTGACGCAGCGTCGGGGCACCACTCCTAAGTAGTTTTGAAAAAATAAGTTCTTTGATCATCAAGACAAGAGCGCCACATTCTAAGTGAATATAATTAACCAATTAAAAAAATATTACTGTTTGATATTATTGTCTACATATTACATAATATTTTTTAGTAAGTTTGATAAATTTTAATAAAAAAAAATTTAATTTATAATTATTTTCATTGAAAAATTATTTAAAGAGCAAAGGATCATATTGATGGATTACTCAATTTTTATTGGTTACATAAAACAGTTTGGTAATTTCTGGTTGTTTGCTTATTTCTCTTCATATTCATTTAGTTTTTTTTATGAAAATTCTCCAAAAAATGTGTGAAACTTCATCATCAATTTGTTCATCACCAATAGGTGATTTAATAATATCTTATTGTCAAAAAGGTCTTCATTCTATTTGTCAAATATCGACAATCAATGATCAATCATTTATACCAGATGAAAAGTTAATATTATAAAAATATTTTTTCATTTCATAAAACCGACAACAACAATCTATTATTTTTAGTCAAACAATTGAAATTCAATCATCATCTGGTAAAATTCCAATACCTAAATCATGTCTTAATTGGCTTCATACTTATTTTCATTCACCAAATCATTTAGCTAAAATACCTGAACTTTGTCCAAATATTGTTTCGAAAAACGATTCATTTCAAGAAAATGTTTGGCGTACACTTTTAAATAATGTTCATTTTGGTCAAACAGTAACATATGGTCAATTAGCTGAATTAGCTGGAAATAAAAACGCTGCACGTGCTGTTGGAACAGCTATGCGTTGTAATCCATTTCAATTATTAGTACCATGTCATCGTGTTATTCGTTCTAATGGTGATATAGGAAATTATTCAGGAGGAAAACGAAATAATGTTAAATATTGGTTACTTAACCATGAACAAAAGTAAATATATACATTAGAAACTATAAGTTTTTGTTTATTTTAGATAAATTCTCTATTTAAAATTAATAAAATCTTATATCAAAAATGGCCGCACGTGGTTCAGCAAGAAATTCACGATTAAATAAAAAACCAAAGAAAACTAAATTACGTGGTATGTTAACTCAGAGATGTCTTTTTGCATAAACGAATTATCCAATTTTCAAAAATATCAAAACTAACTACTTTCATTATAAAATTTGTGTAAAGATATTTACAAAGACAAATTTCACATCTGAAAAAATATGCATGAAATTTTTTCCCGCAAAGCTTTGCAAATGATCTAACAGGCATTGTTGAAGTATAAGTGTAGGAAATTTAAATCCATCCATCCCAGATCGTATATGAATAAGACTTTGTTAGAATCTATTAACTATTTCTTTATTGTATTTCTCGAGAATTGTACTAACAGTTTTTATACGTAGTATATATCAAAAAACTGTTTGAATATTTTTCAAATGTATATTACAATCAATTTTGATAAAAAGTTTATATTATTTTATATTGAAAATTTTCTTTAGGTAATGTTTCTCATGGTCACGGTCGTGTTGGTAAACATCGTAAACATCCTGGTGGTCGTGGTAATGCTGGTGGTCTTCATCATCATCGTACACTTTTTGATAAATATCATCCGGGTTACTTTGGTAAAGTTGGTCAACGTGAATTTCATAAACTTAAAAATCGTCGTTGGTGTCCATCAGTTAATCTTGATCGTTTATGGTCACTTTTAAGTCAACGAGCACAAGAAAAATATACTCAAGATGAATCTTCTGTCGTACCTGTTGTTAATGTTGTACGATCAGGTTATTTCAAAGTATTAGGTAAAGGTGTTTTACCTAAGCAACCACTTATTATCAAGGCAAAATTTTTCTCACGACGTGCTGAAGAAAAAATTAAGGCAGCTGGTGGTGCTTGTGTACTTTTAGCATGAGACATATTAAAATATCATATTATTTGTCTCTGTTCACAGGAAAAAAAGAAAGAAATAAAAAATAAATTATTATTATCATCATTGTTTTTTCGTTTGTAATCGATATTGTTTTGCTTGTTTGTTTTTTTCCTTTATAAGCATACGAAAAAAAAAAATACGAAAACAAACGAAAACTTAATAATAACAACTCTTTTTCTTTTCATACAAATTATGAAAAAAAAAAAACAAAACAAGAAATATTTATATATATATATAACTTCTTAGCCTTGCAGATATGTGTCAAGTAAACGAAGAGGACGATGAAATATTTCAAGCACTTAAATCTACAATAAATAAGTAGGTTTATATGAAACTTTATGAAAACTTTTTTTGTATTTGTTATTTGGAAAGAGAAATTTCATTTTTGTTAATATTCTAAAATCTTTTACAGAACACCAACTAATCGAAAATGTATGAGTTGTGATGAAGATGCTTGTGTCATTGTTCGAATTGCTGATCCAATGTGTCGGTGAGTTATTCATTGACTTCAAGAAATATTAAACTAGAGTTTATAAATTTGAATAAATACAAAAGAGTTAATCATTTAACAATATTCAAAGAGACTTGATAATTTCCATAGCTCGAGTATGAGATAAAGATTTTTGAAAAATGCAATACGATAGTTTTCAGATCCCAGAAAACTGCGAAAATTAGTTTTTAAGAGTACCAACTTAAAGCGCCCAAAATCCTGAATAAAATAAGGAGTGGTCGCATTTCCTACGACCTTCTCTTAAAAAGTTATAAGCATCGTAAAACGAAATTTATCATAGCATTACTAAAAAGAACTCTGTTTTTTGTGAAGCTTATAACTTTTTAACGGAAGATCGTAGGAAATTCGGCAACCCTTCATTTTATTCACGACTTTGTGCTCTTTAAGATAGTACTCTTAAAAATTAATTTTTACAAAGTCTCCTGGATAGGGAGCTACAGGTTCTTCCAGGCTCAAACCCGTCCGGGTCCAACTTTTTATTTTTTGTTGGGCTCAGTTACACACTTTTGTGGACCCACTGCTCGCCAGATGAGAAATATAGCAACAAGATATAACTGTACGTTGGGTTTTTTTTTCTGAGAGTAGCGAATAAATAGCTGAAACCTTGATCCTTCACTTGTTTATGTGTACGAAGGGTGCCAGGTATGAATGGAAAAAAAACCTCGAGTTTGGACTCGGTCAAGTCCGGATCCAAATTTTAAACTTTTTTTCGGATCCGGATCCACAAAAACATGGACGCGCCGCTTCCTATCTTCGCTCACTACTAAAACTAATAATTAGTCTCACATGTCATTGTATATGAATCTATTTTTCTAATCTTATGTGTTTGTTTCTGCAAAGCCAATAGAAATAAATAATATTATTTTATGTTTATGTAATGAGAAAACTAACATTTGAAAAACGTTCAGTTACTTCCAATGATCGGTTTGCCCAGGAATATCAATATTCTATAGAGCTGAAAAATGATCCTCCATCCACTTACTCTGTTATGATAGGTACAAATAAAAAAAGGCAAATTCTATTTGAAACAACGTATTTTGGCTCAAAAAAAGAAAAGAAAGATAGATTAATACATAGAATTATAGACAGTCATTTTCTATATTCTTTTTTTTTTTTTGTTGATTCAAAATACATTTATTTATCGTTTTCGCTTTATGACGAATCAAAATAAGATAAACTCTCAGTTTTATCAACTAATAATGAAACTAAATTTCTAAGAGATAAATTTCAAAACTGTTAATTATATTTTGTAGAAAATGTTTTGAAGAATTTTTTATTCATAAATTTCGTTCAACATTATCAAAATCTAATATATTCGGACGCGGTGAACATGTTCTTATTGCATATTCCGGTGGACCATCATCAACAGCTTTACTTCATTTAATTGCTGAAGGACTTAGTGTAAATGCTCGAAGACGTCTTCAATTTCAAGCACATGTTGCTTTCATTGATGGTGATTAAAAATTTAATTTTGTTTTTATTTTTTTTTTTCTTTACTAAATATAAATTTTATAGAATCTTCATTATATCCGGATGCAATAGACATACGTGAAAAAGTAATTGATCGTATTACGAATCAATTACATTATCCATTACATATTGTCTCTATTGATGATGTAAGATTTGTAAAAACAAAAAAAACAAAGTTTTATTATTATTTTGGAATAAATATTTTTAAATTTATTAGAATCTTGATAATGATAATACTTTAAAAAAATTATTATTTCAACAAACAAAATCATTAACAGCTCGTGAAGAACTTATTCGACGACGAAAGTATTTTTTTTTTTAATGTAATTTTATTAAAAATTTAAATTCTATTTTAATAGATTAAAATTATTATTTGATATTGCTATTCGTGAAAAATGTACAAAATTAATTACAGGTGATAATTGTACAAAACTTGCAGCACAAATTCTTTCCGATATGGCACAAGGCAAAGGTGCACATGTTGCATTAGAATGTGTTCGTATAAAATTTATTTACATTTTATTTATATTATATCTTATATAGAATTTAACTGATACAACAAATGATTTAGTTACTATAGTGAGACCGTTTCGGTGAGATTTTTTTTCTCTCTCTGTTTCATATCATTATTACTCATTCATATATATATATATTTGTAGGGAAATAATGTCAAAAGAAATTGCTATGTATAATCGATTGAATTCTATTGAATCTCTTCAAAATATTGATATATCAACAATGGTATGTATGATTTATGTTTATTTTTTTTGTTTTTTGTTTATTTAAAATAATTATTTTCTTAATAGTCTGGTATTCAATCATCAATTTTTAAACTTTCGGAAACACTTGTTAATGATCTACAAAGACAATTTCCTTCAACAGTTAGTACAATATTTCGGTAAGAATTATTCTTTCTTTATCTATATGATTTGAACCGGACAAAAATCACCGTTACACCGCTTAGTATAATGTGTCCTATACCCGAGGGTAGCTTGATACTTGAACCATTGACTATCCTCTGATCACCATTCTACTGCGGTATACCGATAGTTGTTTACTGATCGGGAATCTACTATCGCGGTTCTTATGAATGCCGTGGTAGTGCGAAGAAAGGTGCAATATGAATATTTTATCTAAACTTTTTGTTTTTTTAGAACATCTGATAAACTTGAAAAAAATCTAAAATCAGAACGATGTGATTTGTGTTGTTATCCACTTGATCTTGACGAGGATCAATCATTATTATCTGATCAAGATAGAATAAAACTTATTCATCAACTATTCGATACACGTTCCGATAGGTATATTTATTTAATAGTTTGTTTTTTTTTTTGTTCTGATTTGAATTTTTCTTTTTAATGTAGTAATGATCCGGTTCATGTTTGTTATGCTTGTCGACGATTATTACGAGATGTACAAGTAAGATTGATTTTTATTTGAAAGAAAAAAATTAAATTTTATTTTAATTAATTATCTAGCCGAATTTACAATCTAATCAAGAATAATTCTTAATGATGAAGAACAAATCAAACAGTGTATTATTTTTTATTTTTCGTATAAATAATCATTGAAAAAATTGATTATAACGTTGTGTTATTCTTTTTTTTGCTGTTGTTAACGATTAATAAAAAATAATTTGACCGTTAAAAATTTATCTTATTGATTATTTTATTTAATGAAACTTGATTCAAATAGGTCTCATCTGCCTATCGTGATCTGTATATTTTTTACATATTAATATCATTATGATAATTTAAATAGAAGCAAAAGACTATCTTTATAAGTCAATGATTCTTGAAAGATAATAATAACTGATTAGAAAAATACGAATACAAACTTAGTGGAATGGATAAACTAAAAGAAATAATAAACAATATAGTCATCGCTGCATCCCTAGTCACAGTCTATTATTAATCATGATTAGGGTCCAGTCAAAATGATAAAACAAAAGTCATTTCTCATCTACCCGCGACAAAGATATTCTATTGTAAATCATGACATATAGGCTTACTGTTCAAAAAAATTAGCAAAAAAAGGTAAGAGAAAGATGGTCAGTCTACGATGGGCAACTTATTTAACCTATGACAAACTCGAAACTAATAGTTTGTGTCTGTTTGCACTTCGGATGTAACTAAAATTAGCGATAGAGAATAATACATACTATGTAGGTATTATTATCGATATCTTTACTTGTGAGTTTTGTATGTTCAAAAATTTGAACTTGTTTTCTTACTTTCTGATGTTATGCAAAAAGAAAATTACTGAAAAAATAACCAATTATATTGAAAAGAAATGAAAATGGTTAAATGATTTATATAAGAAACAAACAAATGATTTTTACAGTCACTTTAAGACGTCTTTTTATTTTATATTTTAAATCGAAACAAATCCTATATCCACCTTTCATTTGATTATTAATTCTTTATAAAGGTTATTTTTATGAATAAGATCTTTTATTATAGATGTAGTTCAAAATGTTGCCTAACTATTAATTAAAAAGTTATCAGTGAATATCTCTCTAACCATATGAGAAAAAAATCCGAAAACTTCAGCAAGACCGGACTTTAAAAACTGGTTTTCTAGAGATCATATCAAGAAAACAATAGTAAATGTATCTGAGAAGGCTACTCTATCTCTGCATATATAACCTATTCAATTTGTCTATTTTTTTTTTAACAAACTCAAAATATTATCGATTCTCTTGTCGTATCCTAATGTCTGTGTAAAGTTTAAATTGATCAAAAATATATATCGGATAAATATCAATTTTATCATGAAATCAAATTTTCATTCTTGTTGAAGTATCATTCATGTAAATAATAAATTATTTTATTGAATTTATCATAGTAGATTTAATATATAAATTTCCGTCTTATGTTATGTGACATATTGATGGGATTACTAGTATTTAATTGTTTTTGGAATTTATTTGAACTATCAGATTTATCTATTGATAGCATATAATAAAATTGAACTGTACTAAAAGAGAGACATCAGCTGTGTATCTTCTCTCAGCATAATTACCTCCGTTTAATGATAAGATGTATAATGCGCTTTATAGAAAGATCCGAGAAAATCCTAGAAGTTTCTAAGGCCACAGAAAAAATTGGCTTTTTTTTGTTATTCCATAAAAATTAATAATCGATAAGATACAACATTTTTTTGTTGTTATGAAAACCAACTGGACTGGCAAAGTTCATTAATAAAAAAGTAACACTTCATATCTCAAACATTATATTTTTAATCCTTGACTCTCCATAATAGTTCCAGAAAAGTCATTAATGAAAACAACTGTGGCCATGAGGGAGAGAGGAAGCAATGTCATGGACTGTGGCTGTGCATGACGATTTTCAGACTCTACACCCACACGCACTACACTCATCCATCCAGAGAAGGTTTGCATATATGAGAAGACAAGACAACAAACAGATACTATCAGTAAACATTTATATAATGGCAAATTATACTGGTATTTATGAATAACGATAATCTGTTTCCTTATCTATGCGTAAATATTAGTAAGTATTATATTTAAATAAGAATGTCTAAAATTTTTCTTTTTCATGTTTTTATCCGTCAATGGCAACTTTCATTTGCCTTTTTATATCATATAATCTTTTGCTCAACTAATTCGTGTAAAAATTTTGAAATGTATTTTATATAATAGCAGTAACTATTCGTCGATATTTTTATCACATAGCACATTATTAAGATACATATTTCTCGTTGGTAAAAGAAACAATTTAAAAAACAAAAAAAAAAAGGTCCTTTTTTTCTTAACAATCCCATAGTCGTCTTTCTTTTAAGTTGTATATTCTAGAAATATTAAAACAAAAATATCAAATATTTTTCTTTGCCTTAGAGAATTTCTTACACGTAATATGTAAGGAGTTTTTTAATATTCTGCATTCTGCAATGTTTCTAAAAAAAAAAAAGGTAATTTCAATTGCCAATAGGACAATCATTGTGTATAAAAGAATTTAGAAAAAAAAAACTTATGGTGATTATTTTTGAAAAAAGTAACATATGGTATAAAGATTATTTTCCAAAAATTATTTTTTGAAAAAAAACAACGATCGGATATTTATCTCTTTCTTTTATTTTTTACTATATATCAAATTACTAATAGAATTTTTGTTTTATCTCAGCAAGCATTATCGTCGACTTCCTCACCTCCTGTTAATCTTTCGACCTTTGCAATACCCTTGATAATTAATATTTGAAACAAAAGTAGTGAAAGATTGTAAAACAAAGTACATTCCACTCTATTAATAAATAAGAAACAAACAGTATTCATATTTCCAAGAAAATAAATTTCCGAAATTACTGACATGAGAAGATAATTTCCGGATAGCTTTCATAATTATTCATTTATAAGAAAAAAGAAAATTCGAAAACTTCTTTGACATTAATACAAACAAATAAAATTAGAAGTCTATATAAATATCAAAGCTCACTTATACATACTGAAAGAATGTTTCAGAAATCTGAATATTTCTTCTCTATTACCTTGCAAAGATTCTCTCTTTAGTCATGGCTAATGCAAACATAACAAATATGATTACCACATATATTTTCATTAGTAGGCGATATGAAAACAAATCCTAAGAATTATTTCCACATCACTTTCAAGTCACCACATGATAAGTATAATCACAAATTTCGATGAGATTTTAAAAGTTACAAGTATTAAACCTTACAAATAATTAGTATTTTTATTATAATTCGTCTATGACATTATAAATAATTTATTGAATAGTTTTATATAATCAAAAACAAAACAAAAAAAGAAACTAAATTAGAGAATATACTTCTATTAATATTGAATATAAATAGACTGTTTTCCTACGAATAACAACTTACAAACATACACAGAAATTACTTTCCTGTAAATAAAAAGAAAAACGTTTTTTTTTTCTTTTAAATATAATGAACGACTGCTAACTAAACATACATTTAATATAGATAAGATAAATAACAATATAAGACAAAAATTTAACCTATTATAACATAAAAATTGTCAAAAAGAAAATAAAAGCGAGAAAACCGATGATAAACCACTGACAATATAAAGAAAAGAAAATAAATAATATTGCAACAAAAATCGAACTAAAAACTTTCGTATAAAGTTCGATCTGTTATATAGAAACTAATGCAGACACAATACAAAACAAAACTCATTTTACTATTATTTATGTAAAATAGGGAAACAAAAAAAAAAAAAAAGAAATAACCTATGTGTATGTGTGCGTTCAAGCAAAACCTATTAAGGACCTTTAGACGCGTCCAAAGCGTAAATTAATCAAGATAAAGAGGAATCAATTTAATGAAAAAGAAAAAAAGAAAAACATATCTTTTCTCATTCATTATATACTTTAAATCGTTTATTTTTTGGTATAATATTATCCATTGATGATGATATTTTTTCATTCATATATCTTTCAACTAAACATTTTGTTGGTGATCGTTGACTATAATTAGGTTTAATATTTATTTTTGATTGATCAATTTTTTTTTCCATAATAGCTATTATTAAATCTCCACATTCTAATTGACGACAATTTAATCCAGTTGTACGATATGTTGATTTCGGTGATATTGATGACCAACAAGAATATTGATGAACAAAAAATGGCATTTCTTGTGAAACATAATATGATACCTAAGATACAAAAAGAACAAGAGAAAAATTAATTTTATATATGTATAAAGATTAAAGTAACTTACTGGTTTTTCAATTCCATTTATACGAAAACGCAATTCAGTTTTACCAGTTAATTTATTAATACAACCAATATATTCTACACGCGCCAAAAGACTAAAATATATGAAAATACATAACATATTTGTATAGTTGGTTATGACAAAAGTTATGTCTTTTTTCGATGTTTTGATTTTTACCTTGAGTATTGTTGATTTTGTTTTGCACTTATTATTAAATCATTTGTTGTTAATTGCTGAATATTTTTCTTCTCACCTGTTTCTAATTTAATTAATGTAGCATGATGAAATTTTTCTAAAATAATGTTATCATCATTAGATTTTTGTGATAAAAATGGATTATAATGATGAAATGATCCATCACCAGAATAATAATCGTTATGATAATTCCATGGTTGAAATAAATTCATATTCTTTGATGATGATGATGATGATGATAATAAACCAAGATTAGAAACAGTTGAATACATTTTCCTAATTTATTATACAAAGTGATGTTGATTATGGAGAAGTAAAAACTAAAAAGAAAAATTTTTATCTTTTATTTCAATTGTTTCTCTTGAGCAAAAATGTCTGTAGAGAGTAAAACCAATTTCTATTTCTATACTGAACTTTGTCCTTAACAAGACTGCTGTTAAAAACTTGTTGCTCATAATATTTTTTTTAATAAAAAAAAAAATTATTAATCCCTAAGCAAAAATATGCATTGACTATGAAAATGACTTTTTACAGTAGTTCATCAAAAAATACCCGATATATTCTTCTATTCTAATTGATGAATGATTATGTCGACTGACAGACAACGAAAAGAGACTGTTTTGACGCACACAGAAAGGAGAAATGAGAGCGAGAAAGATAGAAAAAAGAAAAAAAAAAGAAAAAAAAAGACATACATTCTCTCTCAAGTAAAAATAAGTACTTCTCAGAACAAAATTCACGGTCAACAAGGCATCCTTCGACTTTTAATCATAAAAATAAGTCCAAATTATACTCATTATAATAATTATCTACATCTTAGTTTGAAATTCTATATTTAATTTCAATTTACCTAGAGGGGAAAGATTAGCAATCAACGTTTCTCATTCAGTCATGCTATGGAATATAATTTCTGCTAATAAATATACGAAAAATCTTGAATTTCTTTTTTGTATTCAAAAGAAAAAAACCTGTAGAGAACAAACTAAAGAAAGATTTTTTGACATTTGTTTTCTACTTATAATGGTATCTGCGGCCGCTTGCAAAAGAAAGAGAAAAGGTCGTCGCTTCGGTTTTTTTTTCTTTTTTTTTTTTTCTTACATAAACGCCGTTCTTTCTTTCTCTGCAAAAATCTAAAAAAAAGGGAATGTAAAACAGGCACACTTTGCCCTTTTTCTTCACGCATTAACTCCTCTTCCGTTATAATCAAAAAGGAAGAATAATGATCAGCTGCAAAACATATGAGAAAAGAAACTACATAGTAAACAGAACTTGTCAAGCGATTTACCAGTTAACTTATATTGACATTATGACTTTATTATTATACAACAATTACAAAACAAAAAAGAAAATTCATAGATGTTTATTTTTAGTCTGGTAAAAGTACAGCTGCATCATCATTGTCATCAAAAACTATTGCATGTGTTTCTTTTTTACTAATAGCAGTTTTTGGTCGTTCATGTGTCATTTGTTGAGGAAATTGATCAATATAAGGATGAATTGTAATAGGTCCTAGAAGAAAATATATATTTAAGTAAAACACAAGAAAAATATAAAAACCTTGCTGAGAAAAAACGCCTTTGGTATTATCTAAATCAATTGGTGTACGTTTTCGATGATCATCAGTAGTTTGATTACGATTGCTACGAGGAGCTTAAATAAATAAATGAATAATGATGTCTATAAAATAATTATTTTAATACTTTCTTGTTCAGCAGATGAAATCTTTCGACCTTTAACAATATTTTGACTTTTATCTGCATTTGTTTTACGCTATATAATAAAAAATAAAATAAAATACTTTTTTTTTTAATATTTGAATTTATTCAAATAATATACTTGAAGTTGAATGTCTTTCATTTTATTAACTTTCTTTAATTCATTTTCATACATTTCTCGCTCCGGTAAACCAAGATCAATAGAAATTTTAATTAAAAATTGAATACCTACAAACAAGAAAAAAAACATAAAGTTATGTTAAAAATAACGAAACCAAGGTGAAGTTGACATAATAATTTTTTTGTTTTACATAGAAATATCGATAAAACAAAGTTAAAAAAGTACTTTATACGATATCTTCAAACATAAAATTTTTCTTATCTCTATTCGCTGAGCCATAAAAATTTCATTCTTTAATTATAAACAACATTCTTTATTGTTTATCTATTTGTAGAAGTTTATTAGATTCTTTCAAAACTTAGACGATTATAAATTTAACATTTATTTGAGAAAAAATGTCTTTATACAATGAAAAAATTTGCAAAATCTATAAAGTTAAACTATTTGTTGATTCTATCATATAAAAATTACAAGCTGATTTACTCTGTCATTAAAAATATATTATGTAATGTTTCTTTTCAGAAAAAAATATTTTGAAATATTAATATATAGGCTATGCAAAAAAAGTTAATTACATATTTTGAAAGCGCTCGAAGTTTTCTATCACCTTATGTATTTACACTTTAGTTTGCACTTTTGCACTAACATACTAAATTGAGCGTAATAGAGTAACCTACATTACCAGATTCCTACGCATTTCATTTAGTCACGATCATCAAAATTAATTCTGAAAATTTTTCATTACAACATAATTATCGTTTTAAGAAAAGCAAGTATATAATCTGATAGAACTTGAAATTCTCTATGATTCAATATATTCATCTATTGTCTTGCATGTATTTATTGCAACAAATAAGTTGCTAGACAATAGATACATATATATGGAATGATAGAGAATTTCAAGCTCTATCAGATTATATATTTAACGTTGTTTTTTTGAAATAAGGTAATTTTATAGTAATGAAAAATTTTCGAAAGTAATATTGATGATAGTAAGCAAAATGAAGTACATGAGAATTCCTTCATTACACTCGATTTATTTTGCTTAAGTGTAAACTCAAACATAAACATAAAGGATGATTGAAAATTCCGAGCGCTTTCAGAATATGTAATTATGTTTTTTTTCTATAATGATAATATATTTAAAATACTGATTGCAATTATTTTGTTTTACCCCGGATAGATATTACATGCAGCACTTTTATGAGTTTTTTTTTTCTTTTCTAATTAAAGACATGTGTTACATATCGTCATTTAGCATATAAGAACAAATTATAATTATTTATATAATTTTGATATTCTTCTTCATTTTGAATAAAAGAAATGAAATATTTTATTTTCTATTTTTTGATACAAAAAGAAATTATATATTTTATTGTTTTTTTTTCAATCTTACAATCAGTATCATCTGGAAAATGTTGATGAATCCATTTATATTTTTCTATGGCAGCTGCATAATCACCACTACGACGATGGCATGATGCTACCATTAAATGCCATTTAATTTCACCAGGTCTAAAGCATTTTTTCTTATTTTTTTTTTTTATATAAGAACAAAAAAAGATGATATTCTTTTACTTGACTAAAGCTGCTTGTGCACAAAATTCTACAGCTTTTTCTGGATATTGTGCTTCAATATAATGAGATGCTAACCATTCTAATGTTTGAATATCACATGGACAATGTCGATATGCCTTTCAATAGAAAAACAAAGAATTAAATATTTAAAATTCAAAAAACAAAACTAATGATGTAATTTACATCAAAATAGTATTGTATTGCATCTGATTTATCACCTTGAGAATCAATTAATTCACCTATTCGTCGATGTAAATGTCCATCTGTTCGATGAATACTTAATGCTTGTAAATACCTGAAAAAACAAAAATTTTTCATAAAATTCATATAATTATATTTCCTTTCGTCAACATATGAAAAAAAAATCATTCGTTAGTAATGTGACTTCGCAAAATTAAAATTCATATACCTTAGGATAATGAATTATCCTAGAGCTAATTTTTTATATGTGGCATATATATACTAAGTTACTCTAGATGTTCTAAAATAGTCAGCGCTATAGATATTTGTTCAGAGGAATTATAAATAAAAATATTAGCGTTAGAGACATGACATAAACAAGGATATCGACTTCCACTTTAGGACATTTTAGTTTAAAAAAAGAACTCCGAATAAAAAGAAAATATTACATTCTATAGACAACTCCTGAGGTTAGAAAAAAATTGATTTACTTTTCGCTAGCAATGTGACAGCGTACACAAAAATACTCTTATAATCGAATACGAAATTCCAAACGGTACAAATCATTCTTCAAAATCTCTAGAAAATCAGTTTTCAAGAGAAAGTTTTCGGATTTTTTTCTCATATGGCCAGAAAACTAGTCCTTGTAAAGAATCAAATGAAAGGTGAGTATGTCTTGTTTTTGATTGAAATTGTCAATATATATTTATTTCTACACATGCCGATGATAGAAATATAAAGATTACCAATAGAAAAAGAAATTAGCTAGTGATTTACGAAATGTAATTTTACAAGATAATTAAAATTCTAAGTAAATGATGAGCGTAGCTTTTTATGACAATGAATGATAGATATTAGTGACCGATCAGGATGATAATTAAATTATCGAACATCGATAATTTGATATGTGTTTGATTTTAATTTCAAAAAGTTGTTCTTTTTTTTAGATTAATAAATAAGATGATGAGAAAAATCACAAAGAAAAGCACACAATAGTGTTGTGACAGATTTTCATTCAGACTTCAAAGTTCATAGTTACTAACGAGAGAACATTCCCAATTTGAAAATCATTTTTGAATTAGAATTCTGTGCATAAAATGGCTCATAATCCTTATAGAATTATAGCCGTTTTATTGAAATTTTAGTCTAACTAGAATCTCCTGAACATTCTTTTGAGCTGAAACTTTCAGGTAGAGTCCTGCGGGACAAACTTTTTCGTACCCCGAAGCCCGTTGACTGAAAGATGGCTGTATGCACGAAGTGCAGTAGCCGACTTATTGCTTTTCATTTGCTTATTTGGCATGACAAATTCTTCTTTTCGATACATTAGTCACGACTACAGCCAGCCACTCGTTCTCTCTATTTAATCAGCATTTCAAAATGAGAAAAAGTTTGTCAAAATATGACGAGTACACATCTGAAATCTGTTTGTTTTTAAAACCTCGATTACATTCGGAGGCTGTAAAAATGTCGAAAACGATAATTAACAGTTTAGAGAGGTCGTTCAGTCAGCCGTCTTTTCCACTGAGGCTTCACTCGAATGGCATTATAGAGTTCTTTTTTCTGTTATTTGTAAGAAATAAGAAAATTAAAATGTACGACAAGTTTTTACATAAAGATTAGAAAATTTCGAGACATTAGCTTTTCTATGTTCTCCCGCAAAATTTTCGGAATAATCTCGCGGGATGGGACAAACAGACGTTTTTTGAGGATTTAACATAGTCTAGTTACCAGTAGGCCTATCTTCGGACAAGTTTGGGAAAAACTTTAGGAAGAAGATGCTGCAATTTTTTAGGCAAAGTAAATTGTTCATATCAAAATTCTATTCGAAAGAAACTTAAAATTGAAATTAATTTAGCAAAAAAAAAAAAGAATTACTAACCAACTTTTAGCATGATCAATATCATTTGTCTGTTGTAATACTTGAGCCATTAAACAAAAAATTTGTGTATTTTCTGGTTGAATTACTATATATTTATGAAGAAGATCTTTTACACGTTGATATTGATTTGAATGTATTAAAGTAAGAACTTAACAAATTTATTGAATGTATCAATTATAAATTCTTTTTTTTTTTTTACTAAAATTTTCTTACTAAGATTATGAAGAGCTTGAACAAAACCTACATCTATATTAAGTGCTTCTTCATAATAATATCGTGCTTTATCATAATCACCTTGAGCAAAACAACAATTACCTTTATTTGTTAAAGCTGAATGAAGAATAAAAAATTTGAAATGATATTGATATAAATTTCTAATTAACTTACAAGCCGGATTAAATTTGTCAGATTTTAAAGCTAAATCTGCATATTTATGTGCATTATTTAAATCTTTTTCCTGAAAAATAAGATAAATAAAATAATAAAATATTCATAATATTATACCAAAAAGTGCAAAAGTGATAGGTTAGTTGCAGCTAAAATTAATAATAATAATTATAAGTGTTAATGTGTTTTTATAAGCTTGTTTTTGTGCTTTTTTTTTATATCAATCATACAAACCTGCACTAGCTAATTTTGCTTCAGCTTTTTCGAATTGTTTAAGTGTTGCAATAGCCTGAAAAGAAAATAAAAATCATCGTGAATTAATTTTATTTCTTTGCTTGTTTCTTTTTTTCTCTCTCTAACCTTCGGAAAATTGTCTTCATGTAAATAAGCAATAGCTTTTTGAATTTCAAGACCATTAACCAATTCTAAATATGATGAATTTCGTACTTGTTCAATACACCATTCATAACCATTAACAAAATCTCCATCAGAATTGCTACCAATAATTTTAGCTGCTGTTACAATAATATGTTCAGCAAAACGTCGTCTAAGTAAAAGAAATTTTTCACTTTATATTTGTTTTCGAATAGAAAATTTCTAATTTATATAAAATAGATCAATCCGAACTAGAGATGTACGGAACCAAAATTTTTTTGGTTTCGATCCTGAACATCTCTAATCAAGACTACTCATATTTACATTTGAAATATATTCAATATAGAAATTATTCAAATCATCGTTTTCTATAAGTTACATGCATTTCGATTTCAAAATAATTGTAAACAGTCAGAAAAAAGATTTTACTTGTATTCATGTGGACAATAGTGACTTTTGAGTACTAAATGAGAAAGAACAAATACTTAGGGCATACTAAAAGTTCTGGTCACGGCATTTAAAGGATTTTTTCGGATAAGGGGTCCTATTGAGAAATGAAAAACCAAATATACCATGTTATAGAGCTTTTTGAGATGCGTCGAATGATATATAGAAAATCTTGTTTTCATAAGGCTTTAAAGAAACTAGAGTCAATTTACTGATAGACGACTACACATCCACACCCAAGCATGACAAGTTTCTGAATATTGTAGTCTTTGGTATTTGTAAAATCTTTTTTCTGACATACGATTTTTACAGAATTTTTGACAGGCTACAATCGTCTATATGTAGTATCTCCAGTCATCTTGTTAGTGTTAGTGTGCAGTCGTCTATCAATAAATTGACTCTAGATCCTTCAAAGTCCTATGAAAACAAGATTTACTATATACCATTCCACGCGCTTCAAAAAGCTCTACAGTATGGTATATTTGGTTTTTCATTTCTCATAGGTCTCCTTATCCGAAAAGGTTCTTTAAATGCCGTGGCCAGATCTTTTGATATGCTCTAAGTATATAATAGTCGTTTCGGTACATACTCTAGTGCTATTGGTTTGCATTCAATTATTTGTCTACGAGTGACAGCGCACTGCTTGTCCACTAAACATTTACTGAAGAGAGTTCATAGAATTTCAAAATTCTATGCTTGAATGAAGTACATCTTCACTAATTATTGGCGGACAATCGGATAGCCAATGAAATTCATATGATAGTACAACAACACACCGTCACACTCTAGTGCTTATTCAAAATATTGAATAGTCAATGCATTTCATATCGAAATTTTATAGATGGATTATGAAAGGAAGGTTTCTGGAAAACTAAGCACGGTAGTTTTTGAAGTCCCAGATGACTGTAAATATTAGTTTTTCCGAGTGTCATTTTAAAGAGCACAAAATTTTAAATTAAACGAGAGGTTGCCCTATTTTCTACGACCTTCTGTTAAAAAGTTATAAGCACCACAAAACGAAACTAATTATAGGATTGCTAAAAACTTTGGGTGCGACCGTTGAACCTTGATAAATCCACAGCCCTAAAACTATTATGTTTGATTTTTTAGAAACCTTTCTCTCATAGTCGATCTATAAAATGTATTGATTATTCTAATTACTATTTAGATTTGAATTAAATGCTTGGCATCGTATCAAAACTATGTTAGTCTTATATGTCCGATCGGTCAATTGTTTTTATTTTTAGTGTTCAAAACACTTTTTTTTCTATTTTTGCCAGTCCGAATATTGGACTGCTGGTTTATACAACTTCAAAATTTTCGATATTTTTTCTTACACAATTTTCTTTTGTAAATTAATCATTTAGGAATTTTCTTGACAAATTCATTTTTATATTGCCTGTACTTTCTAATCTCTGATATAAACTTCTTCAAATAAACAATTATCTTCTTTTACTACTATACCGTTTTCGTTCTAATTGTCTCAATCGATCATCTCGTATAGCTTCAAAAACAAGAATTGCTTGTTTATCTTCCTAAAATTATAGAGCAAAATCAATTAATCAACAAATAAAATGAATTAATAGATTTTTACAGATATTGAATAATCATTTTCAGAATTTGAAAATGGTATTTTAAGTAAATTATTAAATACTTGTCGTGTTTTATCACGTTGACCCATTGTATGATAACATAGAAGAAGATTAAAACCACTAAGATAAGTTGCTCGTTCTTGCATTATTATTTCATAAACTTGAGCTGCTTCAGCATATTGATCCATTAGAATATGTGTAGCAGCAATATTTTGTCGAATTTTAAGTCTTAAAAACAAAAACAAAAAAAATAAAAGATTTCAGATATAAGAATATACTATCAAGTATTTATACTTTAATTTAGCATTTTGTTCAGATATTTGATCAAGTGCCATTCGATACATTTTTAAAGCTTTTGTATAATTTTTTGAACGAAGAAAAATATTACCAATATTTACTCGTCTAAAAAAATTTGTTATATTTTTATTATTATGATAATAAATATATAATATGTTTACTTACATTTGAGCATGTTCAGGTAATAATTTATTTTTAAGTATTAAATTATATAGATTTATTGCTTCTGTATTCATAGCACATTTTGTAAACATATTTGCACAATGAAGAATAACCTATAGAAGAAATTCAATGAATTATTATTAAACTAAACTTATCGATCTTTCTATAATAAAGAGATCAATGCACTATTGAAAATATGTCTAACACAAATCAAGATAGTTTTATTCAAAATCAGATTTTTTTTCAGTTAGAAATAAACTAGGTTAACTGGCGATGGAACATTTTCAACTGATCAATCGCTTTCTCGTTGCAAGCTAGTGAATTGTTAGTTATCAACTATGAGAAATGCCATCATATGTTGGTTTTCTAAGCTAACAAACTTGTCGACTAAAAGTATTTGTCATCTGTCTAGACTATAGAACATGTCAAATTGCTTAAAAAACCTTCCGAAGTGCTAAAAAGCTTTTGAGCTCAAATTTTTTTCCACAAGTAGCAGTTGTATAAACTAGAAAAGTCCTAAGATGATATGAACACAAGTTGCGATTTGGCTGAGATATCAACTTTTTACTATAATTTTCCTGCAGGATTCCATTTTTTCGCTTAAATCAAAGTTTCGAAGTATGACCTAAAACTTTACTTGCATCAAGGTCTGAATTACACTAGCTTACTCACAAAGTTTCAGAATCTTTGAACAAATCATCTTCGAAATATGAATTTTTCAAAATATTCATGTATAACACAAAACAGTCTTCATGCTAATATACTCATAATTCGAAGATGATTTGTTCAAAGATTCTGAAACTTTGTGAGTAAACTAGTGTAATTTAGACCTTGATGCAAGTAAAGTTTCAGGTCATAATTCGAAACTTTGATTTAAGCGAAAAAATGGGATCCGAAAAGGAAAATTATAGTAAAAAGTCTATATCTCAGCCAAATCGCCACTTGTGCCTATATCATCTTAAGACTTTTCTAGTTTATACATCTCCTACTTGTGGACAAAATTTGAACTCAAAAGCTTTTTAACACCTCGGAAGGTTCTCTCATTAGTTCAATATGAAAAAATGCATGTAGATATTCGGCATCTTATGGTGTTCGCGATTCGTTGTTATTTACTTTTATGACTAAGAGAATTATGTTTACAGAGATGAATAATTGTTCAAATTAATTAAATTTCATTTTTTTTTCTTATTTACTATGCATTTGAAAATATAATATACTCTATTGTTTTTAGAATAACTTTTGATAGGAACATCGTAGAAACCTGCGGATTTCCATCGTTCAGGAGAGAAGACGCAGGACCGCCGAAATATATCGAAATTGAATTGGTTGGTAATTGACCAATCAGGTAAGTTCTTAGTGAAGACTCTCAAAAGTGATAGTCTGAAGCTGCTTCCTTGTCAATCGACACAAAACTGACATTTCTAACTTGTGTTCTGTTCGAAAGTTATGAGACTTTTCCAGAGACCTCCGATATCAGCGAATTCACCTGTGATCGACCGAAGAAGCAGCTAGGCAGGATAATTCATCATGCTGAGTCGAACGGTGGTATTTATTTCGACATGACATGAAGAATTACTCCTGTCTAGCTTCTTTTCTAAGTAATCAGAAGTAAGTGGGCTGAAATCGAGGATCGCAAGAAAAGTCTTATAACTCTCCATTGGCACAACCTATAAATGTCGGCCTTGCATAGATCGAAAGAGGGGAATTTTTTTCATCAATGAGTCTGATTAAAAGTCTAAATCAAAAGGAAAATAGCTTCAAAATATCGTTTTTGAAAATCTTCACCAAGAATTCATCTGATTGGTCAATTGCTGACCAATCAAATTTCGATACACTTCAATGACCCTGAGACTTCTCTCTTGAATGATGAAAATTGCAGGTTTCTATGATGTTTCTATCAAAAGTTATTAAAAAAACAATGGAACATATTATCTTTTGAGAATAGATAGTATTATTTGGTATGTTTTTAATTTGTTCTATGTCAGGCTCATCTGCCGGTGTATGATTTTGACAGATCAATAGTGCTGGTTAGAAGTGAAAACTAATTTTGTGTTTCATTATTTTACTTCGCAAAAGAGAACTCCGTCTTGAAACGATTAAATTCTAAAGGTTTTTTTTTTGTTGCAGAAAAGTAATTTCTATTCTCTGTTTATTCATCAGAGAAACATTTGTTTTTTTTTGAATCTAAACAATTAAATATACTACATACAAATCCGGCTAGACTTAAATCTGGTTCGCCAATATTTTTTTCTTCACGAAATCGACTAAGACTTTTTTCATGTTTCATTGCTTCTTCGGCTTTTTCAAGTGCCTAAAAAAAACAAAAAGAAACAATTTATATTAGATATAAACAAGAGATTATATTTTCTTACTAATTTATTATCATTTTTTTCATATGCAAAACAACTTTGTTCCACAAGATCAAAAATTATTTTCTCCATTTTACGTACTTTTTCATCATTACTTTCAAAAAAAAAAAATTATATATATATCTATATAACTAAAATTTTCATTTCATTCAATTACCCTTCTTCTTTCTTTTCAAATTGATTTGATCCTGCTGTTGCAACATAACTACCTAATGCTCCAGATCCAATCATAAATCCAGCACTTTTTATAGCTGTTGTTGGTCTTTTTTGTGCTGTAGTAGGACGACGTAAAGTTGAACCAAGTGGCGCATGCATAGCAATATTTTGTTTTTGAGTAGCAGCAGCAGCAGCAGCAGCACGTGATGCAGTTCCTAATCGACCGACAGAACTATTCGATGGTACAGGTAAATTTGTATCTTTCGGTCGATTAAATACATTTTTTATTTTAGAAAAAACTCCACCCTAAAAAAAAAAGTAAAATCAAACAATCTACATAAGTTTTAAAATTCAAAAAGGCTTTCTCTACTTTTTGAGCTGTAGCTCCACTGGCTTGATTGGTCTGAAACAAAAAGAGTTTTTCAGTTATTCGTATGATAAAATATAAAAAAAAAAAAAGATAATTACTAATGGAGCTCGTCGACCATGACTAGTTTTTAAAAGAGCTTGTTGTAAATTAGTATCATTTTTCAAACTCTTAGAGAACACAATAAAAATATTTTATTTTTTATTTTATTTTTTATGCAACACAACTCACATTCGTCTCTAACAAAGGATTAAAATCATTAAAACCAGTATATGAATTAATTTTATCTGTCATTATGAAAAATCTAAAGAAAAAAAATATATAATTTATATATATATCACTTTCAAATCACCGTTAGAACCACCAGATGTCGAAAGACAAGAAAAAAAAAAAGAGAAAAAATTAGTCAATTTAAGATTATTTTTTTGCTTGAAGTTCAGGAGTTGAACCTGTTATATCACGCGGGTTATCACGACGATATTGTTCAACATCAGTTATTAACTATTGAATAAAGAAAAAACAAAAAATAGATTTTTTTTTTCTATTAATTTTAATTTATTTGAAATTACTTTTGGTAAACGGCGAACATTTTTCTCTACTAAATATTCTTTGAATGCATCAATACCATGCAATGGAGCAAGACGAGCATTCTAAGAATGAGATATGTTTAATGTTTTGTTTTGTTTTTTTTTTCAATTAAATTATTTTACCATTTGTTCTTCTCGTTTTCGTGCTGGATCTTCACGTTCAGCTTGTAGTACTTTTGGATCTTGAAGTTCTTCAGTTTTTAACGAATATTGCCAAAGATTTTTAGGTAAATACCATGCTCCATATCGATATTTTTGTGATTGTAATAATTGATCACTAGGGCTAGTTGATAATTGTCTTGATTTTGTTATACTAGAACTTAGATGCTAAACAAAAAAAAAAAAAGAAGTTAATAAGATTATTTTTAAAAATTTATCATAATGAGAATTTTCTTTGCTCTTTACACAAAGTATAAAAATTCCATAGAAAGAAACTCTTGTGCCAGAGGCTAGGTGGAAGTATGTTCTACCGATGGACCTAATACTAGGTATGTGCAAGATGATAACAAGACCTAATCTTTTTGTTTTAATCAGAACCGGGACGAAAGTTTCTACTCTAGCCGGAACCATTTGTTTTATTTTTAGCAGAAATCGGGACTGAACTTTCTTTTCACCGAGAACGGGGCTAATTTCTTTTTAGTCGAGATCGGGACCAAATTTTCTTTTGTCGGAATCGAGAGTAGGACCAAAAACGATTACTCCTGCTCATGTCTACTTAATAGTTCCCCGTTCTTCCGTAAATATGCAACTATAGAGTTTATTCGACGCGTTTTATCCGCAACTACAAAACAGTACAGTTGATTTTCTGATATAGCCTTCTGTTCGATAGAAAAATAAAGTATATAGCATTTTGTATGTATTTTCCATCTTTTCTCTCGTAAATAGATCTGAATCAAAAAACAAAGTGTATCGTTTCGTAGGCGCTCATGCGATATGTTGTATATCAATAGTAGAATGGAAAATGTGAAGTGACAACCAAAAGAAAAAGTATTTGTGTTGAGTTTCTGTCATGTTTCATCAATTCAAAAAATCTTATTTTGTATATGAATAATTGATAACATTCATTTGTTTTCTTTATTATTGAATGAAAAAGAATAAAAATTATCAGATCAACGATAGAATCTTAATCTTTTTCCAAGAAGCAACGATATTTTAATTATTTTATATTCTGTACTTAATATTAGAATTTAGAATAAATTATTTTCAACTTTTATTCTTTTCTCATTGAACAAAATTCAATCTGAAGAATATAACAGTCTACCTTTCTCTTTCATGTGCAAATGGATTATCAAAAAGAATCCGATTTTTATATGTACCGATATATTAAACATTCGCTATTCAAAATATCAAAATTGAATTAGAAATGAATACTTTCTATTTTAGATTATCACATCTATCATTATACAAAAAAAAAAATTCTAATAATCAAAATTTTATAATTTGTAGATTTGAATAGAACTTAGATAATTTCTTTCTAAAGAAAATACCAATTCAGGAAATGTTGTTTTTCTTTGTTGTGTTTGAGGAATCATTGTTTCTTGTGCACCTTCTCGTAATTCTGGTGGAATCTAAATTAAAAAAGTAAAAATATTTTAATTATGAAAAAAAAAAACAAAAATTTTCAATTAAACGAACTCTTGTCATTTCAACTATTTTAATTGGTACACTTAAAGATGGTTTTGTATCATAAGCAGTTGAAAATAAATTTCGAACAACAGCTGGATCAATATCACGATTTGTTTCACCACCAAATTCATATAACCAATTACAAAATTGTTCAGAAACACTTCGAAGACGAGCTTCCTTTAATAAAAAAAAAAAACAAAAAATATTTTATTTATTTCTTCATACTGCAAAACAAGGATATTTTTCCTTTCAAAAAGTTGTTCAGATAAACATACAGAAAAATTCTTGAATTTCAAACAAATTTCTTTTCGATTGTGTTTGTTCTAATGAACTGCAATTTTTTGTATTCGATAAATAAATGTATTCTCTTCTAAGATTTTAAGAGTTCCAAAAATGAAAAGCAGTACGAAATTCTCTTTGAAATGAAAGTAGCCCGAGTGCTGTAGCTTGAAGCGTATTGAAAAAATATTTGTACACATGAACACACTATTTTACACTATGACTTCTGAATGGTAAGATTTTGAATCGTGAAAACTCTTTTTAATTGTATGCTTTCATTAGCTAAGCATCTTTAGAAAGTTTCATAGAACTTCCATACAATGTATCGATTCTCGAAAGAGGAGGAGATCTTGATCAAATGAAATTTACCATTGCAGTTGTTGCTTCATCATCTTGTGTAGGTCCTTTAGATTGTTGTTTCTGTTGTTGTTTTTCAATATACCATCGATAAGGATTTTTCTGTTTTCTTTCAAGTTCTTCCGAATCCCATGGATTTCCTGATTCATCATAAACAATTGTAGTTCGTCCTGGTCGTGTTGAAGTACGTTTACTCTCTAATTCTTCTGGTTCAGATTGATCATCTAATTGACTTGAACTTTGACTACTACTACGACTACGTGCACTTCTTTCAGTATTATTTAAATCTTCTTGAACTATTGGAACTTCAGATGATGATGTAAAAATATCTTGACATTCATCTATAAATATATTTTGTTCATTATTATTCATACGTGATAATTCAGTTTCGAGTAATTTTGTTAATTTTTCATAAGCCTAAGTAAATAATAATTTTCTAATTTTAACAATGAAATTTTCTTTTTTTGCTTACACCGGGTGGTAATGTTTGATTAAAATGTGGAAAAAACGTCATAGGATGATCAAGTAAAGTTGATATATAACTATCAATTAATTGACGACGTTTTTCTGCAGTAGGTAATTCACGACTGAAATATATTTGACGATCTGTTAGACGATTTCGAATATTTGATACATTAGCTTTTATTCGACGACTTTGAGAGAGTACAATTGGACTTGGACCTTTTTCAGGCTATTAGAAACAACAAAAACAAAACAAGAATATACATAAAAAGATAAATTAATAAAATTTACTTCTAATATAATATCATCATGCGATGGTGGTAAACCATCACGAAAATCATCTAGACCATCTTTAACAAATTTCCAATTTTTTGTGTCCATATGACATGGATATTTCATTTTAAGACGTTCTCGATACCTAGATAGATTTCAAAATTTATTTTTTTTTTTTTATAAATCATGCAAAGTATAGGAGAGCAAGAATTAAAGAAATAAAAGCAACTAATGTAAGAATTTGTCTCACTTTGAATTATTTATAAGCCTAGATAGATTTTTTTTTCAATGTCAAAATATGATAAATACAAAAAATTGATGAATAGATAAAAGATAGAAATACCATGGCTGAAATTTTGGTGTTCGACGACGATCTTCAATTTTAGGTAGAAGAACATATTTAAGTTCGTTGGACATGTTTATTTATCGTCCTTGATATTATGTGATGATCTTGAGATATAATAACTATTTAATCCCATAAGATAGATTCTTTTAATGGGTTACTATGGTTATCAATCGATTTGGATTAGAGATAAGTTTATTTTTTTTCACAAAATCGTTTTATTCAACTTATCATTTCAAATAAAGTTTGACAGATGATTAAATTTCTTACAGTTTTCAAATTATTCATGGATAGAGGGAGACAGATGTCGAGAAAAAATTTTATATGCGATTTATTTCCTTTTAACAATAAAAATTGCTTTTCTCGTTTATTGAAAACGTTTTAAAGATATTCGATAGCCAAGACCGAAAAGGCACCCATGTCATTCAAACCGCTCGAAAACCGACAGTTCACCGTGATTCTCCAGCTGAATTTTTCTCGTGTCACAATGGTCACTTGTACCAGGCACATCACTCATATTCGCATCGTTTTCGAGTTTGAGTTTTTATTAAAGATGGCGCCATAAAAATAGTCATTTGTTAGACGACTTGATCAATGGGAAAATGTGGCGCCATCTGACAGAATTTGCTGCTGCATGATTAAGCCGACTTTTTGTCCGTAGGTAAGTTAGCGCAAGATTGGAGTAAATCCAGTTAATTTTTGTCTAGGAACATGTCCCAGAGTTCCTATTCTTGTTCCAAGTACAACTCGATAAGCTGTATCCAGTGATATAATCGGATTTCGCATAGCTCAAATTACGATTTTTGAGACCATAGATGGCGCTATAAAAAAATCGGAAAAATTATAGTTTGAGCTTTGAAGAATCTGATTATACCACTGGATAGAGCTCGTCGAGTTGTACCGGGAACAAGAATAAGAACTCTGAAACATGTTCCTAGACGAATCTTGTGCTAAGAATCCTATAGGCAAATACTAAAATTTTGAGGTTTTCTCGGACATGGTATGAGCTATGGAAAATCTAATTATACCATTGGATAGAGTTCGTTGAGTTGTGCTTGGAATAAGAATAGGAACTTTGGAACATGTTCCTAGACAAATTATCTACGTCGGGATTTTTAAGTTGGAATCGACTTTTTCAAGACTAAAAATATTAATTTAGTAATACAATAGTACAAAAAAAAACGATAAACGAAGGAAAAACCGAGTCCAACCGCCGGTAACTCTCGGTTTTGATACAAAATCGACGACATGGACATGATCGTATGCTACGAAATACATCAAAAAATAATCGTCATATACGACACCATACGTTCGAACATGAATAACGTACAAGATTTCATGCGGTCGTAACATAGTTGTGAGTCGAG